GGCAGTGGCAGGTCTGCTTGGGCGGGGACTTGCCAGAGCTGCTGATTTCGGTGCAGCCCCAGCCAAAGGGGTCAGAGCAGCATTCATGCTCTTGCCCACATGTTGCTCCTCTGTGTCATAGCCCCCTGTTTTTGATGGCCACCAGCCAGGACCTCTCCCAAGGAGGCCACGCCAGCTTCTGTGGAGACCCCGTGCCCTTCCCGCTGTGGCCGCGTCGGCAGCCGAGGGGGCTCCTTCTGCTGCCGTGAGCAGGCACAGGAGGGGAGTGTTTGCTCCTTTTTGGAACCGTTCCTAAAGTTCACGTCCAGCTGTCTCAGATGCTTTAGGGAATGCATTCCTTCCAACCTGGGGCAGGTTCGCAACAATAAGGGAGGCCCCAGGGCCCGTGGCAGTGTGTCACAGGGCCCTTTGTGACACGGTGGCCGTCGTCAATGGGATGGGACAGGGCAGTGTGTCCAAGGGCCCTTTGTGACACGTCCTGATATAGGTGTTTGGCGGCAACGCGGCCACGCCATTGTGCTCGGAGCACGCGTCTGGTCAGGACGGGAGAGAGCGGTGCTGTGAGGAGTCTCCTCGCAGCCAACTCGTTCGTTGCTGACCCGAAGCATTTCCGAGAGTTCTTTTTGTAGCAAGATCCCTCGAGGCCAAACCACGGGAGTTGGTGACCCAGAGCTTTTCTGAGGCATCCCCACTCCCTGTGGGAGTGGCCCTCGAGGCCAGGCCACGGGACTTGGTGACCCGGAACTTTTCTGGGCATCACCAGTCCCTGTGGAAGGTGCCCTCGAGGCCAGACCACGGGACTTGGTCACCTGCAGTCCCTGTGGAAGGTGCCCTCGAGGCCAGAACACCCGACTTTGTGATCTGGAGTTTTTCCCGGGCATCCCCACTCCCTGGGGAAGGTGCCCTTGAAGACATTCTGTGAGTCTTGACGACCACAGACTTTTCCAAGGAGTCTCTCGTGCCCTCGAGGTCAACGTGTGGGATGGCGGAGAGACGCTCTGGCCTGCGCAGGCTGCTCAGGCCGAAGAGGAAGAGAGAAGGCCCTGGGGCTGCCTCAGCACAGCAACCTGAGGAGATGCAGCACTTCCAGCCCCTGCAGCAGGGTGAGTGCTGGAGCTGGGCCACTGGGGTGGTGGCTGCAGCCAACTTGGCCCCTTCCCGTTCCCAATGGACGCACCCAGGGAAAGGGAGGGAGGAAGAGGGGCCAAGGCTGACCTCCCCAGCATCCGTGCTCCGTCCACTGGGCACCCCAGGGCCGGCACTGCTTCTGTACCACAGAAGCTGGTCTGGGCTGTGTTCCCTGGCCTGTCCTGCAGCCCCTCAGCTCTGACTGCGCTCACTCTTTGATAGATCCAGACCAGGACCGGACAGAGGAGCAGGAACGCCCCCATGGCCGCTTCCGCAGAGCAGTTCAGGTACCTGCAGCCATCCCCCCCTGGGCTGGGCCTGCTGTCACTGCTCAGCCTGGCAACGCTGGTGGAGCACTCTGTCTGACTTCCCTCTCTTCCCTGCCTTTTGTTCTCCTGCAGAGGTTTCTGAAATTCATGGGCATTCGGCGCAGAACACCCAGGACCACACCACCTGAGGTTAGGGCAGAGCCTGACAGCAGGCCAAGCGAGATCAAGGAGACGCCTGATGTCAGCACTGCGCCAATTGATTGCACGGAAACCTCTGACACTGCTTTGAACAAGGACATGGCAAACTCTGACACCGCACTGGCCAATCTCACTGTGAAGGCTGAAATGGAACTGACTCATTGCGCAACAAAGCCTGACGTCGCTTTGGCTGATGACACAATCGGCTCTGACACCGCAGCGACTGATGTCATGGCCAAGGCTGACATCGCGCCGATGATGATCGATGGCACATCAAACTCTGACGGGGCACCAATGGACGGCACAGCAAAGCCTGACAACGCTTTGGCTGATGACAGAACCAGCTCCGACACTGATAGCGTGGCACAGGCTGACATCGCACCGATGCCGACTGATGGCACATCAAGCTCAGCCACGGCATCGATGGAGGACACAGCAAAGCCTGAGACTGCGTTGACCCATGACACATTCAACGCTGAAACCGAAGCAACCGATCTCATGGCAGAGGGTGACGCCACGACTGAGGGCATCGGAAACGATGACACCACCCCCACTCCGAGTGCCACCGATGCTCCCAATCTGGACTTTTTCCTGGAGAAAGGTGTCTGCAGTTGGAAGCAAGTAAGCAGCCTGTGGCCAGGGCTCAAGTGCATCAGGGGTCTTGTGGCCCCTCAAGCTGGGTCTGCTGGGCCCCCTAAGCCTTTGAGGCCACACAGTGTGGTGGGAAGGGAAGCACTTCTTGGGGGAAGCTGAGCAACCTGCTCGCTCTGACAACTCTACAACTC